TAGGCTTTCACTTAATGCTGCTTGTGTGGAGATAGTTAGGTAGACATGTTTTCCCATCTGCATAAAAAAGTATCTGTCACCTCGGCACAGACTCTTTCGTGCATGCAGAGCGTGGGCCAGGAGAAGGAAAAACACGTGACTAGGAAAGGAGCATCCAGCACTTACCACAAACATTCCTCGTAAATGCGCACTCTGCTTGGACGGGAAAAGAGCAGCAGCCGAAGTCCCAGCCACTGCAGAACTATTTGTACCCTTCTCAGTATATTCCGCAGGGTTCTCGAAAGTTATCGAATAAACTAGACATCCAAATGTTAAAAGGCATCCCTGACTTGTATTAGTTGTGTGCCATTAACTGCTATTGCTAATAACGAGTACAGAGGCAATGCATGGAGGAAGCTTCCAGCAGCAGAAGAAGCTTGGTTGTTCTCTGAAGTTTTAGAAATGATTCCTGAAGTTGTTTACTGATGCATTGCATCATGTCTGAATCAAAACCATATGTGACTGTTCTGCACCCAGCGGGAGCAGCTTGCCCTTCCCAGAACCCAGTCGGTCCCTTCAGGGCTCCAAACCTTCCTCTTGGGCAGCTGTTTGAATAACATGCCCTGACTCCTGGTCTATCCGTTGTTCTAATTTTTTTTTTTTTTTACATTTTTTTATTACAGCTTAATTCACAGAGCTTAAAATTCATCCTTGAAAGTGTGAAATTCAATATTTTTAGCATATTAAAAATTTGTGTAACCATGAGCTCAGATCCCAGAACATTTTAATTATCCACAAAAGAAACCGCATCCTCCTTAGTCTCTATGTCCCTGTCACCTTGCAAACACGGATCTCCTTCTGTCTCTACGGACTTGCCTATCCTGCATATTTCATTTAAATAGAATAATATGATAGGTGGGCTTTTGTGTCTGGCTTCTCTCACTCAGCATCATGTTCCCGAAGTCCATCGATGTCATGGTATGTTCGCCCAGGCTCCAGTGTTGCTTTTATGGCTGAATGATATTCCGCTGTATGAATATACCACCTTTTGTTTCTCCCTCATCAGCGGATGGACATTTGGGCAGTTGCCACTTTTTGGCTATTATGAATATGCTGCTAGGAACACCTGTGTACTAAGTTTTATATGAAGATAAGCTTTCAGTTCTTTGGGTATGCCCCTAGGAACCGAATTGCTGTGTCATCTAGTAAAACTCTGTTTAACATCCAAGGAACTGGCAGATTATCTTCCAAAGTGGCCGCATTAGTTTACATTCCCTCCAGCAACAAGTCCCAGTAGGCGTATGAGGGTTCCATGTGCTGCCTGTCCTCACCAGCACTCGTGACCTGTCTTTTTTATTTTAGCCATCCTAGTGAGTGTGAAGAGGTATCTCAGTTTTGATTTCCCTAATGACTCATGATATTGAGCCTCTTTTTAAGTGCTTGCTGGCCATTTGCACGTCTTCTTCGGAGATGTCTGTTGAATCCTTTGTCTGTTTTTAAACTGCGTTGTCTTTTTATTTTTGAGTTGCAAGAATTTTTTGTGTTCTGGATACTCGACTTATCAGATATATGATTTGCAAGTATTTTCTCCCATTTTGTAAGTTGTTCTTTTACTTTAACAGTGTACTTTGATGCACAGAAGTTGTTAATTTTTTAACTTTATTTTTATTGTTGACACTATTACAGATGTCCCCATTCCCCCCTTGCCCACTGCCTCCCTTCCCTCTGGCCATCACCACACGTCCTGTGTCCATGGGTTATGTATATAAGTTCTTTGGCTAGTTCCTTCACCTTCTTTCATCCAGACAAAAGTTTGTAATTTTTATGAAATATAATTTGTCCACTTTTTTCTTTTGTTGCATGTGATTTTGATGTCATATCTAAGAATCTGTTGCCTACCATGGTTATGAAGATTTAGACCTATATTTTCTTCAAGTGTTTGAGTTCTTACATTTAGTTCTTGATCCAGCTTGAGCTAATTTTTGGTGTGGGCTAGAGATCCAAATTCAGTCACATGGATGTCCATTGTCCCATCATCACCTGTTGAAAGCCTGTTCTTTCCCCACGAAATGGTCTTGGCACACTTGTTAATACTCGGTTCACCGTGTGTTTCTATCTGAACTCTCAGTTCCGTTCCATTGATCTGTAGGTCTGTTCTTACACCAGTTCCACACTGTCTTGATTACAATAGTTTTGTACTAGGTCTTAAACTCAGAAAGTGTAAGTCTTCCAACTTCATTCTTCTTTTTCAAGATGGCTTTAGCTATTCTGAGTCCCTTGCATTTCCATATATATTTTAGGATCAACTTGGCTGTTTCTGTTCAAAAAAAAGAAAAAAGGCCATAGCATCAGGCCTATGCCAGCCAGTTTTGCTTGATCATTGGATACTATTTACTAGGAATCCTTAGCTGCAGAGTCAGGAACTCAGTGATCTGAGGGTGAGTCAAAGTAGTTGAGCTTAAATATGACCCCATCCCTTTAGACAACCAGCATGCGCAGTGACCGAAGTGGTGGATGGTCCATCTAAGAGGTCAAAACGCTCAGAGACCAGGCATGTCCCAACGCTGTCATCTTCTGTCCCTCTGCCTTGCTGTCCTTGCTTGGACTCTGGGAGATGCCCCAGCCCTGGCCTGCGGCCTGTGCAGATGGCTGGAGGCCTTCCAGCAGGTCACTCTCTTCTCCAGCTGTCCGGCCCTGAGTGCTCTTGCACCTTTCGAGGGCTCTGGTCCCAGCTCCTAAAGCGCAGCGCCCGGAGCCCCTGTGAACCCTCTGCGCACACACTGCGAAGCAGCGCTGTGACCCCGGCTCCCACGGGAAGATCGCCGGCTCCGTCACGGGCAGCCGAGCACGCTAGCCCACAGGGCAAACAGCAAACGAAACAGATAAAGGCAGTTTTGAATCTTAGAAAAACTAAGTGTTGATCCGTGTAGGAGTATCGGAGGACGCACATTCCGGGGCTCCCACTTGGGACTCGGATTCTGGCTCGTGGGCCACGCAGAAGTGTTTAGCTTCTGTGGCTGCACTGAGCGTCCTGGGCAGCGATTCCCAGGGAACTAAACCTCTTGTTCCCGAGCCTCTGCTCCTGCCCCCTCTCAGGGAGTCAGAGTGCAACCCACAGGCACGCTCTGGCCAGCACCGCTGCTCCGTGCAGCAGCTCCGCAGGTCTGTGTCTGTCAAGGGGACTGGCGGGAAAGCTCTGTGGGGGGTACTTTTGTCCTCTGGACAGGTTTGAGACTCCGGCCTGCTCGGTTACAAGCACTTTAAAAACACTGCTACACCTATGGCTTTGGGGCGGGGGGGGGGGGGGGTCAGGGGCCTCAGCTTCCCTGGCCTTTGAGTGATTAAGTACACCTGATGCAGGAGATGGAAACCATTTGGAGGTCCCTGGCTGGCCAATGTCCCCTTCTGAGAATGAACCGCCTGGCGTCTCTGTGTCCCCCAAGACCACACCCATTAGCTGAGCAGTGACCAGTCAGACTTTCCCTCCCTGGAATCTGAGACCTACTCACACTGGAGTCATGCAGTGGCAGGTGCATGGACCTGGGTGGATATGTCACAGGCCACCATGGCTGGGCCACAGTTTGGAGAGCAGGTAACTTGTGTGAGCAGAAACCACGGGCTTAGGAGAAAGTCATAAATAGGAAGAAAGGAAAATAGCCGAAGGTCAGCGGTCCATGCCCACCCTCCCACAGGCCCCGCTGGGCCTCCTTGAGTGACCCCGCAGGCCTTCGAGGGCATCTGTCCGTCCCTGCTCTCAAACTTTGCTGCCTACGTGGGCCGAACCTAGGAACACACATGTGAATCCAGGGGCACTGGGCAGAGCTGGAGGACATTTTTTAGGTATCTTGCCTTTAAAATAATACTAAATTGGGGAGGCATTTACCTTAGAATAGACCTATGCTTCATAAAAAGTGTTTTCTCTCAATGTAAGAAACTTTCTAGCCTGTGAAGAACTGTTGTAACTTTATTTGAGCCAAAACTGTCAACAACTGCTGGGGAAGCAAAAGCTCAATGGTTTGGATAACGCTCCAGAGAAGGGCACTTTTGCACCTTATTTTATACATTAAATCAAAAGGGGAGATGTAAGTGGGTTACATGAGATCCACTGGTGATAGATCAGGGAGGCAGGAGAAAGCAAAGCAGGGGAACCTCTGGGACTGGATGAAAAGAACAATGATAGATGCATCCCTCTTACATAGGGTACAGGACAGTTAGCAGTCAGCAGTTAACTCAGTAACAATGAGGGATTGTGGTCTCCGATGAGTGGTGGGTGCCTGTGCTTTGCCGGGTTTGGGAAAAAAGAAAATTACTCTCACATTGCAGAGACATGTCACCGTAGATGCAAAAGGACAATAGACAGGCTCAGTTAAGGTAAAGATTGATGTTTGTCAGAGAAGATGCTGACCTAGGACATGACTACCGGCCATAACTGTTTCTAGTTCAAACGTTTTTAATTTTAAACCCTCCTTTGTGGTTACTGCAGGCCTGAGTCTGCAAGGCCCCTCGAAGGCCTCCCCTGAGCCGGTCAGGGTAGCATGTGGCCGCCTTTGTCCACGTTTCCTAGGAAACACTCTGGCTGAAGCCCCGTCTGTCCCCTGCGTCCTGGGCCCTGACTACCAGCCCCACTGTGACAAACGAGGAGTTTGTCCCGCCTCTGACTTTGCAGGTGCGAGGATGAACCCAAAGACAAGGTCCTTTCTCTTCCCCACCTCGCCCTCCGTTCTCTAAGCCAGAGAACCAGGGGGTGTGGGGCTTCGGGGCTGCAGTGAAGAGAGAGACACGGAATAGAGCACTAAGCAAAGTGCCTTGCAGAGGCCTGAGGGGTAAAGGATTGTACTCGCCTCATCGTCCCTCCGGCTCCCTCCTCTGTGCCCCGCCTTCCTCCTTCCCCTCCCCCTGCCCTGGCCCCGCCCTTACCCCCCACCCCACCCCGCCACCCCCTCCCTGCCCTTCTGCCCTTCTGGTCCTGCAACCGGAAGCCAAGCAGGAGCCGGGACCCGAGGCCGAGCGCAGAGCCCAGGCCCAGCGCAGGGCGCACCCGGAGCCGCCCCGCAGCCCGCAGCACCTGGACCGGTAACCGCGCGCGACCTGCAGGACAGACCGCGGTCCCACGGGGCGGGGTTGGGTCCCTGCTCCAGGGCGGCGGTGACCAGAGCACGCGCCCGCCGGCCGGCACCCCAGGGACTAGCTCCCCTGCGCCCAGGGCCCCTCCCGGTCCCCTCCCTGCGGATCGCGGTGGCCGGTCGGTCGGCGGTTCTGAGCCCCTGAACGAACTTGTTGAGGTCTCAACCCTTACGTAAGCGTGACGTGTCGCTCCCGCCCCTTTCTATGACGAATCTCTCCTTGGGGCCGCAATTTGTTGGAACCTGGGCGGTTTCGGGCTTTGCACCCTCTGCAGGGTTTCTGCGGGGTTACAGAGACGGGGCAGCCCTGCCCTGCGGACCTCAACCCTCCCCCTCCCCCCGGCCCAGGGCCTGGCCAGCCGAGGGCCGAGGACGGTGCGCGGAGCCCTGGAGGCAGAAGCACCCTGGGGCCTGTGGTCGGTAGGCCGCAGTGCGAGGGGTTCTGCTGGGGGCCAAGTCTCCGCCCTGCTCCACCCCGTCTAGAAAAATCTCCCACCTCTCAGAGCCCTCCCCGACGGCTCCCGGACCTGTCTGTCCTCTGGAGTCACGGGGTAAATGACAGTATCATATTTCAGAGGTCACAGTCCAGTCCCCGGATCGGGTGCTTGGAGCCTGCACACAACAGTGCAACAAAGTTGCTGGATTTATTCCTCAACTTCATCACCTCCTGTGGCAGCTCCTTCTACTCCTGGGCTTCTCTGCTTGGTTTATCTGACTCAGCCCAGGGATGCCTATTCTCCGTGTGGCCTGAGAGCTGCCCCCTGGGGTCACTGGACAGACAGGGGCAGTCTGTCCCAGGCGAAGGTGGCCCCCTGTGCGCTCCTCACACTGACATGTGCAGAGCCTGGGCATTTGTCCACATCCTTCAGAAAACAGAGCCTGGTGGCCAAGGTGTGATGTAGTCAGTCTGTCCCTACAGCCCTGCCTGTCCCCGCCCTTGCCCTCTGCCCCGGGGCAGCTTCTTTGGCAGTTCAATGGCCTCTTGTCCTGTGAAGTGGCCAGGCAGGATCTCTGTCTCGTTACACTCCAGGGTCTGGGCAGTTAGCATTGATTGTAACACCTGCCGCAGAGTTACAGAAAGCCCAGCCCTCCGTGGAGGTCCTGCTGGCCCAGGGCCTTCCCCGTTCTGTTTGTGAAACACGGGGCCCTCTTGCTCCCCTGCTGCAGCTGACTTCTGGAGTTCGTCTGCTTTCGTTTCTTTGACGTGCACCCCTGTACGTGTGCCCTAGTCTGCCTGAGACAGTTCGTGCTCATACCCATTGCCCTGGCTTAATTAATAGTATCCATTTTCACTTTCAAAAGAGTCACGATTGGATTATTAAATTTGTCTCTGTCTCTAAATTGGATGCATTTGTATTTGAAAACTGGGCCCTGCCGCTCAGCCGCCTCCTAGAAGAGCAGTTGAAAGTGCTGCCCTTCGTGCTTTTGGCCACGGCTAGCTGGCCCCGTGGACTGCGGTCTCTGACGGTGGGCGAGAGGGTCCCGGGCACCTCAGGCTCACTCTCGTCACACTGCCATGTCAGTTGGATTCCCAGGAGCCAGGTGCCATGTCAAGGGGGTTCCACACAGCAGCCCTCGGAGGACTCGCCCAGGACTTAGAGGTGTCAGACCGGCAACTAGAAAACCAGAGTCCTCCGGGCCCATGCTGGCTCCTACCTTTTCTTGTAGCTGGGACACTTCAAGTGGCTTTGCCCCCCCACAGGGCAGGGATTCCCTCTGGCCCTGGCACCTGGGAACCCAACTGATGCGGCATTGCGACCAACGTGAGGCCTGCGGTGCCCCTGGACTCCCCCCCGCTGCCCCGGTGAAGACCGTCCACAGGGCCAGCTGGTCAGCACCTGCAGCTGCTCTTCCAGGGTTAGGGTGAGGGGCAGGGCGCTGCTTTCAACCAGGACGACCAACTGCCCTAGTTCACCCCGTACTCGGGCGTTAACTGCGACATAGGACTTCCTGTTTGAAAATTAAGAACGTCCCAGGAAGCCTGGATGAGTCGGTCACCCTCTTCTTCACCCTGGTGGCACAGAGCCCACGCGAGGAGCCTGTCATTCAGAGATCTAACGTAGTCGACCAGGTTGATTCCAACACACCCCCGGAGTTGAGAACCTCTGGGTTCCAGGCAACATGGCTAAATAACCGCTGAAGGTGGTTAATTTGGAGAGAAGTGGGCACAAAATCTCTCAAAGGGGTGCGTGGCTAAGTGCAGTAGTCCTCGCTTATCAAAGGGGAAGTCACACGGCAGTTGCTCGTCTTGCTGTGATCTTTCCCGCCCACGGGCTCTTGCCCAAGGTGAGGCCCACCTGCCTTTCCCGGCCTGCTCTGCCCTCTCCGGGTAGTAAGTCATGGAGTGGCCTCATTTTGATGGGAGGGTTGGTGACGGGCTCGGTCCCGGGTGAAGCTGGCCTGGGACTGGGGCGCGCCCCCGAGTTCGGTTCTGGAACGCTTACCCCGAGTTCGGTTCTGGAACGCTTACCCCGAGTTCGGTTCTGGAACGCTTACCCCGAGTTCGGTTCTGGAACGCTTACCCCGAGTTCGGTTCCGGAACGCTTACCCCATGAGTGCTGGCCCAAGCGCTAGCAGAGCGGCTGCGGACACCCGCTGGGCCGGGGGTGCAGGGGAGACCTGGAGCCTCCGGACTGTTCCCCTGCAGGCCTCCGGGAGCATGTGGTACGTCAGCACCAGGGGGACGGCCCCACGCGTGGACTTTGAGGGGGCCCTCTTCGCGGGCTATGCGCCCAACGGGGGCCTCTTCATGCCCGAGGAGCTCCCACGGCTGGGCGAGGGGACCCTGCGGCAGTGGAGCGCGCTCTCCTACCCCGGCCTGGTGACCGAGCTGTGCACCCTCTTCATCGGCCCCGAGCTCATCCCCAGAGATGACTTAGAAGGTGAGCACCTCCCCCACTTCCACCCTCCCCCCGCCGGCCTAGCCCCGCAGAGCTGGAATCTGTCACTTCCCCCGGGAGATACTTAGCCACGGTTCCCACAGGGCAGTGTTCGGTCAGACTGGACTTCCAGAACCGGAAATGCCCAGCCCCCTGCCAGCCGGAATGAGCTGCAGAGAACTGTGGCCTTTATTCTATTGTTTCTAATCCTCACCCGTGGACATTTTTCCATTTTTGTTCAGATAGAGTGGGAGGGCGGGAGAGAAAGAGAGAGAGAGAGAAACATCAATGTGAGAGAGACACACTGAGTGGCTGCCTCCCGCAGGACCCCAGCCAGGGCCGGACGAATCCCAGCGGAGGTACGTGCCCTTGACCGACATCGAACCCGTGACTCATTGGTCCATGGGCGACGCACTAACCGCTGAGCCAAACCGGCCAGGAGTCCACTGATTTCTTTTTAGACAGAGTGGGAAGGGGGAGCAGGAGAGAAGGAGAGAGAGAGAGAAACGTTGATGTGAGACAGAAACATGGTTGCCTTCCGCAGGAGCCCTGTCGGGCTGGGGATCAAACCTGCAACCTGGTATGTGCCCTTGACTGGGAATCAAACCCGTGACCTTCCAGTGCGTGGGGCTGGTGCTCTAACCACTGAGCAACGGAGGCCAGGGCTTCTTTAGTTTATTTTTAAAGCACTTTTTTCAAGACTAGCAGCTTGAATGTTGGGCTTTTCCTTTCTTGCATATAAGGCCCACAGACCCTCAGACTGCTGTATTATTACCTCGAATGGTAACCCAGGAGGGGCTCTGAGGGTGTCCCGGACCTGCTGGTCGCACACCGTAATGTGCTGTGGATTCCCCCAGGGACCTCGTTTAGATGAACATTCTGGGCCTGGAGGGCTGGGTGAGCCTGGGAACCCTGCACTGCTATCAAGTGTCCACATGATGGCGGTGTTGCTGCTCTGGCCCAGGTTTATGACATCCACACCTAGTGCTGAGAGTTTGGGGCTGGGAGGGGAAGAGGGCCACTCAGAAGGCGGTCTGACCAGCACTGAGGGCATTGCCTGGACACTTATCAGCGTTCCCAGGTTCTCTCAGACCTGCCGAACCACGGTCTGCATTTTTTTTTTTAAATCCTCACCCAAGGACATTTTTTTATTTTTTGTTCAGGTAGAGTGGGAGGGAGAGAGAGGAAGAGAGAGAGAGAGAGACATCGACGTGAAAGGGACGCATCGAGTGGCTGCCACCCACACGACCAACCAGGGCCGGGGACAAACTGCAACCGAGGTACATGCCCTTAGCGGGAACTGAACCCGGGTCTCTCAGGACCAGAGGCAGACGCTCTAACCGCTGAGCCAAACCAGCCAGGGCCAGGGTCTGCATTTTAAGGTCCCAGGTGGTCGGTTTACCAGGTACAGTCTGAGAGGTACTGTGTGGACTGCCTGCCTCAGGTGGGGTTGTACATACAGCCTCCCAGAGTTCTGGCTCACAGGTGTCAGAGTTGGTGACGCAGCAAACACACGGCAGCCTGTCTTTAGGCAGAAACACGACAAGAGATGAGACATCGACTTGTTTGTCATGTAACTTAACTGAATGCTCTGTTGGAATAGAATACATCTCACAGAAACCCAGATGATGACGATGTTTATAATTTAACAACGAAAGTCATGCAGTCTCTGCTCTCTGGGGGGCGCTGTGAGGACCCTGTCAAGAGTTTGGCTGTCTTTCCGGACTTCCCCTAGGATTATACAGTTGTATTCATGGATGGTATCATTTAGGATAAAAATTCTCTTTTTATCTTGTAGCAGAGATAACAACTTCAGATTCATAAGTGTAGAGAGACAGGCAGCTGGAGGGAAGACGTAATAGTGCCCGTGGCCCTGTGCCCACAGGTCTGGTCCAGCGGGCCTTCAGCAGGTTCCGCCACCGCGACGTGGTGCCTTTGTCCCGGCTGAGGAACGGGCTGAACGTGCTGGAGCTGTGGCACGGGGTCACCTACGCCTTCAAGGACCTGTCCCTGTGCTGCACCGCACAGTTCCTGCAGTACTTCCTGGAGAAGAGGGGGACGCATGTCACCGTGGTCGTAGGTGCGCGTCCTGGGAGTGCGCATGAGCCCCCGAGGGCCCCTGCCGGCCGCCCGCCCCATGCCCCATGCCCCATGCCCCATGCCCCGGAGTGAGCCTTTCCTGTGTCACCGTCCCCTGACCTAATGGTGGAGGCTATGGAGCCCTCTCCAAATAAGATTTTTTTTTCTCTATTAGTTTTGTTTTTTATTTTTAGAGACAGAGGAAGGGAGAGGGAGAGAGAGATAGAAACGTTGATGAGAGAAAACATCAACTGGCCGCCTCCTGCATACCCCTCACTGGGGATCGGGCCCACAGTCTGGGCATGTGCCCCGACCAGGAATTGATCCGGTGACCTCTTGGTGCAGGGTCGGTGCTCAACCACTGAGACACACTGGCCGGCCGAATAAGGTTTTTAAATACATAAACTATATAGGATGTTGTGGTTCCCAATTCACAGACCCCTGAATTCTATCCACGGATCTCTTGGTGGTCCCTGGACCCCAGGTTAAGTGGTAGGTTTCTTCCCTCCAAGTGTTTGATAGTAGATATCACCTCATTTGGCAACAGGGCTTAAGGGACCATTTTTTCCCTTTTTACATCCCTTGTTCTAAGGGGAGGACCTTTCTCTTCCGGTCCAGGAACTTCTGGGGACACAGGGAGCGCGGCCATCGAGAGCGTCCAGGGGACAGAGAGTGTGGACATCGTCGTTCTGCTGCCTCAGGGTCACTGCACGAAGATTCAGGAGCTGCAGATGACGACCGCGCAGGGGGAGAACGTCCGCGTGTTTGGAGGCGAGTGCTGGGAAGGGGCCGCCCGGGCGTGGCTGCACAGGGATGTGGGCTGGGACGGGGCCGCTGGGGCACCATGGCACAGGGATGTGGGCTGGGACGGGGCCGCCCGGGCACCATGGCACAGGGACGTGGGCTGGGACGGGGCCTCCCGGGCACCATGGCACAGGGACGTGGGCTGGGACGGGGCCGCCCGGGCCCCCTGGCACAGGGACGTGGGCTGGGACGGGGCCGCCCGGGCACCATGGCACAGGGACGTGGGCTGGGACGGGGCCGCCCGGGCACCATGGCACAGGGACGTGGGCTGGGACGGGGCCTCCCGGGCACCATGGCACAGGGACGTGGGCTGAGACGGGGCCGCCCGGGCACCATGGCACAGGGACGTGGGCTGGGACGGGGCCTCCCGGGCACCATGGCACAGGGACGTGGGCTGGGACGGGGCCGCCCGGGCACCATGGCACAGGGACGTGGGCTGGGACGGGGCCGCCCGGGCACCATGGCACAGGGACGTGGGCTGGGACGGGGCCGCCCGGGCACCATGGCACAGGGACGTGGGCTGGGACGGGGCCGCCCGGGCACCATGGCACAGGGACGTGGGCTGGGACGGGGCCTCCCGGGCACCATGGCACAGGGACGTGGGCTGGGACGGGGCCGCCCGGGCCCCATGGCACAGGGACGTGGGCTGGGACGGGGCCTCCCGGGCACCATGGCACAGGGACGTGGGCTGGGACGGGGCCGCCCGGGCACCATGGCACAGGGACGTGGGCTGGGACGGGGCCTCCCGGGCACCATGGCACAGGGACGTGGGCTGGGACGGGGCCGCCCGGGCACCATGGCACAGGGACGTGGGCTGGGACGGGGCCTCCGGGGCGTGGCTGCACAGGGACGTGGGCTGGGACGGGGCCGCCCGGGCACCATGGCACAGGGACGTGGGCTGGGGCAGAACCAGCTCTGACCTCTGGCCATCCTCCCCACTCTCCCTCCCGCCCTCGGACAGTCCTCTTTCGAGGTTGGTGATATGCCCTGGCTTAGCTCTGGGCAGGTTCTTGGCTACACAGTCTCATCAGCTACTGGAGGTGTCAGTACATAAGCCAGTGCTTACAGGCCAGCTGGAAGTGTGGGTTTAATGGCACACCCCAGAGAACACCCCTCCTGGCCGTCCAGCCGGCCAGTGCGCACAGCCAACGACCCAGAGCCACACCCAAGCCAGTGACAGGGTTTTCCTCCCCGCCCAGGCACTGAAATTCAGAGGGCAAAAACATGTTAAATACTATTTTAAACGAGTGTGTCATTGCGGTCCCCAGCTCGTGCCCCCTGTGCAGCATGGGGTGCCTGCCCCGCGCCTGGCTAGCGGGTCTGAGCGGTCAGAGCAGGCGGCTGCTCGGCACACTCGCCACGGGAGGCTCCGCTCCTGAGCACGCCACCAACTACACGTGGAGAAAGGCCAGTCATCTCCCTGAGTGTCAGGCCCTCTGTTCCCACTGGATTTCACCTCTGTGGAGATGGGGTGGAGAAAGGGGGTGAGCTTGTATTTCCATGTCTCGTACCCCACAAGACTGCGGGTCTCCCCACAACGGGGTCTTGGTGAGGCTGTATGTGCCGTGGCCCTGGGCAGGCTGTCCAGGCGCCCTGGCCTAGTCTGTCCCTTGGCTGGCAGGAGGTCCAATGTGGCAGACGGTGTCCTTCTCCAGCTGGCCTGACCTCCTTACATCCCATGAAGGATGTTTTGATAAAACTCCAAGTTTTAAGAAGCAAAAGAGCAGCGGAAACCAACCGTGCCCACTGGAGTAGTGTGACTGTCCTTTGTCTGTTTGCCCAAGAGCAAGTGCACACCCCTCCACCCCAGGGCAGGCTCCCCTAGCAAGTGCACACACCTCCACGCCGGGGCGGGCTCCCCCAGCAAGTGCACACCCCTCCACCCCAGGGCGGGCTCCCCTAGCAAGTGCACACCCCTCCACCCCAGGGCGGGCTCCCCTAGCAAGTGCACACCCCTCCACGCTGGGGCGGGCTCCGCGAACGCAGGTGCACACCCCTCCACCCCAGGGCGGGCTCCCCTAGCAAGTGCACACCCCTCCACGCCGGGGCGGGCCCCGCGAACGCAGGTGCTGGCCACGCCTCACACGTTTGGCTCCGCGATCACCCATGTTTGGCTGCACTTGCACGCCGTCATGGCGAGATCACAATGCACAAGGTCCAGGTTCCCCAGGGCCCCTGTGGTCCCCCGAGCGCCACAGCTGCGCGCTGCAGAACTAGGACCCTCTCTTCCTACAGTCCAAGCAAGAGCAGCTCTCGCAGCTCTGTCCCCCCCCACCTTCATGCTCCGTTGGAAGGCCCTCCCTGAGGGGGGCCTGGCAGCCTGACTCCCGACCGCGACGGGGGGGTAGTGCCCTCTGTAGCTAGCGGCAGAGCCGGGGTGGCGATGAGCCGTGTGTCAGAACCGCGTTCCCACGGGAGCCAGGGGGCCTTTCTGTTCTGTGCATCTTTGGAGCTTTAAACGAGTAAGACAGCAGACTTCAAATTGGTTTTTGTTTCTAGACATCACCATTCAAGGTCTTCCTTTCCTTTCTGGAATCTTCTGGTTTGGTCTCCAGGAAGATGTGTGTTGGTTCAGGAACGGGGACTATGAGTTTCTCTTAGACGGTGAGCTCAGGCAGGAGGCTGGTCACCCGGATCGCTATGTGCGGGACCCTGCGGGGAGCCAGCAGCTCCGTGTCCCACCGGAGGCGGTCCTCAGAGCTGGTCCTCAAGCAGAGTGACCGGCAGGCGCAGGGTTGTCTGGAGTGGTGTTGGCTGGAAGCGACAGGAAATCCAGCTCCGGCAGCTTGAACGAGGTGTTCCAGGTTCCATAACTGGAAGTCCAGGGTCGGGGTCTCCCGATGGGCTGATTCGGTGACTCGGCAGTACCTTCAGGGACCCAGGTCTTTGCGTCCTCTGTTCCGCTTCCCCAGCCCTGAGGCCCATTCCGGAGGCCTTCCGGTCTCTATGCCTGTGGTGCTCTGACAAGCAGAGAACCCCAGCAGGCATTCCGATGTGCCCGCCTCGTCCCAGACCGCCCTGCTGTCGCCCGGGGATGGGCACACAGGGCGATGACCTCAGCGCACGCTGTGGCACTTCTCCCAGAGTCCTTCAGGTTAGGATCCGAAGGAGAAATGGACCCAGTTTCAGGTGCGAGATCAATATTGGCTTAGTTGCTGACTGAGTTGGGTTGGAGAATTCAACTTGGAGTAGTAGCCAATTCACTCATAAACTCCCCCAGTAACGCATCCCTAAATTAAACTTGACATACTCAGCTCGGGGAGAAGTCCTCGTGGCTTACCTGCCGGTGGGAGCAGAGAGCAGAACACCCACCCAGGACCTACATGAGGGACAGTGACTCTCCCGACTCTCGGACGGTCAGCCTGTCCCTCACTGCCCATAAACCGGTCCTTCCTCCCAGCGAGTGGGGGGCTGGCGCGGGACCCCCATTGGGATTCTCTCCCGTGTCCTAGCAGGTTGTTATTTTATGTCTTAGTCATATAATGGTGGAAACATCGGAAATGTGGCCGCAGGAACACGACAGACATAGTTTCTATTCTCTTGGAGCTTAATGCCGAGTGTAGAAAGGCAGGCCGAGCACGTCCGAGGAGAGAAACCAGGCCGAGCCAAGGTGCCGGCTGGACAGGCTGCCGGGGGGCCCGGTGGGCAGTGATGGCTGCCGGGGTTCGCGCCCTGATAGCCGCCCTCCCTCGCCCGACAGTGGAGGGGAACAGTGACGAGCTGGACCAGCCGATCAAGGCCCTGTTTGCCGATGAGGCTTTCGTCCGCAAGCACAACCTGATGAGTCTGAACTCCATCAACTGGGCGCGTGTCCTGGTCCAGATGGCACACCACTTCTTCGCTTACTTCCGGTGTGCGCCGTCCCTGGATGGGCCCCTGCTGCCCCCCGTGGAGGTGGTCGTGCCCACCGGGGCCGCTGGCAACCTGGCAGGTAAGGAGACCCGGGCGGGGGGGGGGGGGCTTTCCAGAAAAACAGCCGTGGTCCCCGACCTTTCAGTGCCGTTTGCCTGCAGGTGATGGGAACTGTGCAGAAGACCCTGAAACCTGCCCCAGCGCCCCAGGGGTGCGTTGGCCCCCTGCCGTGGGAAGGGTGATGGGTTAGCCCTGACACCCTCTGGCCACCTGGCTGATGCTCCATGTATTTTTATTGCTGGGTTGTACAAGCTTTTCTATAGTCTGGATATACATTTCTTATCCAGATGTATGGCTTGCAAACAGTTTTTCCCATTTTGTGGGTTGCCTTTCAGTTTCTTGATAGTGTCCTATGAAGCACAAAAAATTCAAAAATCACAAAAGTTTCTGAATTTCGATGAGATCCAGTTAGTTTTTTCTCTTGTCGCCTGTGCTCTCAGTGTCTAGCCTGAGAAGCCGCTGTTCTCTCTTGTCCTCAGCGGGGTGCATAGCTCAGAAGATGGGCCTGCCCATCCGCCTGGTGGCGGCGGTGAACCGCAATGACGTCATCCACAGGGCCGTCCAGCGAGGGGACTTCTCTCTGTCTGAGACCGTCCACCCCACCTTGGCGTCAGCCATGGACATTCAGGTGGGAGCTGCGGGAGGTGCGCGGTGGGTGTGGGGTGGGGGCAGACGGCTGAGGTCAGAGTGCCCCTCCCCGGCGCCCGGCTTACAGGTGCCCTACAACATGGAGAGGATTTTCTGGCTGCTGTCCGGCTCCGACAGCCAGATGACAAGAGCCCTCATGGAGCAGTTCGAAAGGACCGGGGGTGTGAGTCTCCCCAAGGAGCTGCAAAGCAAGGTCAGTCACTGCCCACAAGCCCCAGAGAAAGGGAAGGTGCAGCCCCGAGACACAGCCAGACTTGGGGTGTAAACATGTGTTCAAGGGATGGAGACACCTGCTGTTTGAGCACCTGCTCTGAGCCTGGAACTTTTTAAAGATACTTTTTAATATGTTTTTATTGATTTTTTTTTTTTCTTTTTTAGAGAGAAGACAGGAGAGAGAGAGAAACATCGATTGGCTGCCTCCTGCACGCCCCCTACTGGGGATCCAGCCTGCAACCCGGTCATGTGCCCTGGCCTGGAATTGAACTGGGACCTCTGTCCATGGGATGATGCTCAGTCCACTGAGCCACACTGGCCGGGCTGAGCCTGGAACTTTTGCAGCTGGTTTATACTGACAGGTTTATTGAATGAGGGGAGGCAGTAGAGAGTACAGGCTTAGAGTCAGAAAGGGCTCAGCTCGAAGCCAACACGAGGCCTGGGACCATTTCTTAAACTCAGTGCCTTGATTTTCTCATCTGTACAATGGGAGTAATAAGAATGCCTGTGTCATATCCTTGTTGAAGAGTTAAGTCAAATAATTCTCATGAAGGACTTTGAATGCTACCAGGCAATAGAGGGCTTGACAGAGTAACTATTATTATTTTAGATTTTTTTGTTATTGATTTCCAGTAATAGCAACGACTGGAAGTCACTTCGTCCATCCAGTGTGCTGAGACCATTGTCCTGTTAGCTCTTGTTTGTTGGAAGGGGGTGACCTTCTATAGGATCTCAGTGGGAGGGACTGCTTTCATTGCAACGCCGCCCGGTGACGGTCACGTGTTTATGTAAAGAAAATAGGATTTGATATGTTGAAGTTGCATTGAATTTTCTCCACCACGCTCCTGCCCAGTGGTCGTCCGGACTCTGTCTGCCTCAGGGCCCAGGACCGCACAGCTCACAGCTAACCGTTCCGCGGGTCTTTCTGTCGAGGTAGACGCTGCCCCTCCTGGCTTGCACACGGTGGGCAGTCTGGTTCCCACATTCAACAGGGTCTTTGTTTGCCACAAAGCCTTCCCGGTTCCTGTCGCTGTGTTTACATGACATACGTTTGGTCAGTGTCCATCCTGAAGGTTGGTCCCAGAACCAGATACAGGTCTCTGGGCGTAGCCAGCACACAGCAGAGTGGAGTTCCGTCTCCTCGGGAAACTGGGCTGCTTTCGATGTCACCTGTCTCAGTCAGTCTGTGCTGCTGCTGCAAAGTACCCCCAACGGGGTGGCTTCTAAACCCAGCGGATTCCTGTCTGACCACAGCTGGAGTCTGAGGTCGGTGCCGGCAGGGGCGGCTCTGCAGGTAGCACAGGGCACCTTCTTGAATCCTCACACAGGAGAGATGTGGTCAGTTCTCCGGCCTCCTCTTGTAGAGACACTAATCCCATCACGAGGGCTCCGCACTCGTGACCTGAATCCCTCCCACGGGCCCACCTCCGAGCACCCTCACACTGGGACTTTCCACGTCTGAAATCGGGAGACACACAGTCAGGCCATGACACAAGCACAGGCCAGCTCACTGGGCCATGGCTTGTTCTGACCCACCTCTTCCTCCTCGGGCGAATGAGGGCTCCAGGAACACACGTGTCCCCCGTTTGCCCCCTCCCTGTGCACACAGAAGACCCTGCGTGTGCCATGATGGCACTCATGCATCGTTCGTGCGTTCCTTCTGTGCACCCTCCGAGCCAGGGTTGTGCTGGGTGCTGGAGGTCGCGACATAAGTCATCGTGAGCCCTGCAGGGCCCGGCGGCTACACCAGCAGCATGTAACAAACACCCTCTGGTCTGTGTGACCATTGAGTGGATGCAGGGGTTTGGCACATCGTAGGCACACAGTGAACATTCAGAGAGATCCCAGAAGCTGTCTACCCCGGAGGGACCAAGAAGGGAGTGTCTCTGTCTGCAGACAGTGGGAGGTGTCCTGGGGGCTGCTGCATGAGCTGGGTGGGCACGCCGGGGGCTGGGTGGGCAGGACGGGAGCTGGGTGGGCACGCCGGGGGCTGGTTGGGACGCCGGGGGCCGCGTGGGCACGCCGGGGGCGGCGCCCCTGCCCAGGAAGAGGTGCACCGTGACACGGCACTGGGAATGTTTGGGTGCCCTCAGCCTTCTGTGTCTTTGAGGTTGTTGAACCAGACTCTATATTTGCTGATTCATGAGCCAAATCCTGACTGAATTTATTGACCTGAAAGTCATTTCCCGAGTGGGTCCATTTACACCTGCAAATGTGGGAGGGGTTCCCTCCGAGCTGACCCGAAGCCATTCCGTCGGAATCGGTCTTGTGTTATCAGTGGGCTTCGGGTCAACTTTCTCCCTGCTGCCCCCACCCTGATCGGCACCGCTCTGGCCCCGCGCCCACAGCTTTCAGCGGCAATGACGTCGGAGTCCGTGGGGGACGCGGCCATCACCCAGACCATGGCCCGCTGCTGGGAAGAGAACCGGTACCTGCTGTGCCCTCACTCGGCCGTGGCCGTGAGCTACCACTACCAGCAGATGCACAGGGAGGCGTCCAGGTACGGCGTGAGCCCCTGGGCCCTGGGGGCACCCTTTGGCTTTCGGGGGCCCTCTTCTCCAAGCAGGGAGACAGGAATGTGATCCCATGGCTGTAATGAGCCTGGTGGGTGCTCTGTAGAACTGCACCCCAAAAACCCTGGTCCCAGTAGAGAGTGTATGATAGGTACCCGTGATGGCCCACGTGGGAGGTGGTGGTGGAGCTGGGCCACCAACAGGAAGCAGCAACGTGCTCGGCCATCTTCATACACCTGTCTCTCTCCTCCTCCTTCCTCGTATGCCTGTCTCTCTCCTCCTCCGTCCTCATGCGCCTGTCTCTCTCCTCCTCCTCCATCCTCGTACGCCTGTCTCTCTCCTCCTCCGTCCTCATGCGCCTCTCTCCTCCTCCGTCCTCATGCGTCCTCATGCGCCTGTCTCTCTCCTCCTCCGTCCTCATGCGCCTGTCTCTCTCCTCCTCCTCCATCCTCGTGCGCCTGTCTCTCTCCTCCTCCGCCGTCCTCGTACGCCTGTCTCTCTCCTCCTCCTCCATCCTCATGCGCCTGTCTCCTCCTCCGTCCTCTGCGCCTGTCTCTCTCCTCCTCCGTCCTCGTGCGCCTGCCTCTCTCCTCCTCCGTGCTCGTACACCTGTCTCTCTACTTCTCCATGCCTCATGCTGCCCCGAACCTTCCCTGTTCCTGCTTCTCCCCCTCCCCTTCTCCTGCTGTACCTGTGCCTCCACCTGCTGCACCCCGCAGCCCTGCCCGGTGCTGCCTGGCCCCCGCCTCTGCAGCCAAGTTCCCAGAAGCTGTCCTGGCTGCCGGGCTGACCCCAGAACCGCCCGAGGACATCTTGGCCCTGGAGAGGAAGGAGACACGCTGTACCCCGATGCGGAAGAGTGACGACTGGGTGCAGATGCTTCGGAGCACAATCGAGGACATGGGCCGGCGGAGGGGCGTCACCTCCTGAATGCCCCACAGTAGCCAGGCTGCAGTTGGCTTCCTCTGGGCTCCAGACCCTGGGTGGGGGACCTCTGAGCTCCTTGAGCACCTTCGCCTTGGTGAGAGCTGATGTAAGCTGCTCAGGAGGTGCTCAGTGGGTCTGGTGGGGTGGGGCCTCAGCACCACGGCAGGGTGAGCATGGCCGGGCGGTGCAGCCCACTCCTGGACAGCGCAGGGGCATCACTGCTACGCGGGAGTCTCAGGGCCTGAAATGAGGAGCCCTGGGCACAGAGTTGGCCCTGGCTCCAGGGTCTAGGACCCCAGACTTGAGCAGGTGGGGGCTGCGCACTCGGTCAGCACAGGCCTGGGGCTCCCGGAGTCTGCGCCTGTGTATCCAGAGGTGCTGGCCTGCTGGTCAGAGGCTTCGCCCTGATGGACGTCGGAGTCCCTAGGACGCACGTGCGGTGTGATGGCGCCGGAGCGTGGCCTGGGCAGAGGACGGGCCGATGGCGGTGCCGGTGCGCTGCCTCCCAGCGGCGGCGCTGAGGGCAGGAGCGCGCAGTGCGCGGGCGGCGGTGGGCAGCGTCGGGTCGTGGGGTCGCCAGGTGCAGGCCCGGAGGGACGGTGCTCGTCAAGGTGCAGACTGAGCCCGAGCGCCCTGCTGTTCGCGTCTTTCTTCACCTGCTTCATTAAGCCAGAGCGGGTGTCCTAACAGCAAGAGACAGTGACTCCCTCACTGACGCCTCCGTGGGGACCGTCGTCATCACAGTGCCCCAAGAAATCAAGTCATTCTTCTCTGAAAACGTGACATGCCCCCACGCCTCCCAGCCTGCACTGGGCGCCACAGAGCGGCCCGGCCCTCAGGCTCTGTCCTGGGCTGGGCTGCGGGGACCCTGTTCCACCACCAGGACTTTGTTCACGAAGGTTCCTTGCGCCGCGTCGGCGTCTGGCTCCCGGGCATCCCTGGCCCCCTGGCCATGGCCCGCCCTTCAGGGCCCTTTGGCGCCGCCCGCCACGCGGACAGTGAGCACGTGAACTGTGAACAGTATACATTTTATTTAATTTACATTTAAATTTCGGAACTATTACTTCAGTGAGTTACCGGAACACGAGTGTGCGCGGTGGGGAGCGCGGCGCGCGCACCTGCCTCCCCAGCGGTAACTTGCACGAAGCGAGATGCAGACCTGCGTTCCCGGCCGCATAGCCGGGCCCTGAACGGACAGCGAGACGCGCCGCAGCTGTAAAATACATGCTGAACTTCAAGAAACTAAACCATCTCATCAATAATTTTCATTGATTACATGTTCGGGAACTTATTTTGGAGTTTCGGGGCAATAAAGTAGATGATCCGATCACCGTCGTCGGCTTCGTTTTCAAGGACAGTTAAAGCTGTGCGTGTGGCTCACGCGGTGTTTCCGGGGGACAGCGCTGCAGCCTGGGCTCCGTGTGCCCCCGAACGCTGCGGTAGCTGTGGGCTCGGTTGTGTCGCCAGATCCAAGGCCTGTGTGGATTGAGGGCTATTTGACACAGACACTAATACGTGAATCAGCACCAGCCTCCTCGCTCCCGGACGCTGGGAACCCTCTGGGAGGCGGGGAGGCGGCACCCGGCGCAGGGAGGTTTGGGGCCACTAGAGGCCGCTGTTGCTGCGACGCAGGGTCTCCGAAAACACCCAGTGGCTGTGTGGCCTCTACAGCCCCTTCCTCTGCCCGAGGTCTAAGGCAGTTGGTCGCCCTGGCTGCATGCCATCCCCACACCCGAACATGCCAGCCCCGCATCCCATGGTGCCCGGGATGGAAGGGACAGTCCAGAGGCCACCCTCTTACTGGGCAACATGGCATCCAGTACAAGGACCTGCACACACAGGAGGTCAGAGGAGCTGAGAGACCCTGCCAGGGCGGCACCATGAGGGCGCAGAGAGGCTGGGGCTTCAACCCCACGGTGCAGTTTCCATGACCACGTCATGGGCATCTGGCCACGCTCACTGCGGTCTGCCACTCGGCCTTACCCCGGCCGCGGCCCTTCTGTGGATACACCGGGGGAGGCCCTCGGCTGCTGTAGCCCTGCCTTCTGGGCCCCTGTGACCGGCCGGGCCCCAGGCCACTGTGGCTCCTGCTCCATGTTTCCAAGGGCCTGGGAGGACACTGTGGGGTCACGGGGGTCACAGAATCCTCTGCATGGTTCAGAGGCAGAGTAGCTCTGAGAGGCCACCGCACCCGTGACAGGGGCCCAGCACAGAGCCATTGGACACAGCACAAATGGACATGAAGCATGAACGCTGGGTGTTCTGGCCGCGGGGCCCTGGGGCTAGGGCAGGAGGGAGAAGGCGGGAGCAGCGCCCAGCGCTGCAAACACACACGAGGCGCACACCCCACTAGCGGGAGAAGGAAGAGGCCTGGTACCCCACGAGGCCAGCCGGGTGGCAGTCCCCCTGGGCCACTCACTCGCCTGTGGTGCTACTGCAGCCGTCTGGCTCTGCGAGCCTCAGTTTCCCCCCTGCTAATGACGCGCCCACCTGCTGGCTTGTTTTCAGGATCCGACGAGACACAGTCGGCCCTGGTTTATCGCGGTGAATCAGTTCCAGACTCTACCGCGATCAGTGAATTTCCGCGAAGTAGGATTCTTTCTTTATGCACAGTCGTCCCTCCCACTTCGCGCTTCCATGTTCGCGGCGTCACTCTATCGCGGCTTTTTCAAATACTATACTATATACTATACTATACTACACTATACCATATACTATGTTATACTATACTATACACTATACTATACTATTCTATACACTATACTATTCTATTCTATACACTATACTATACTATATGCTGTACTATACTATACGCTATACTATATACTATATACCATATACTATATATTATACTAATTTTTTAAAAACCGCGATAGAGTGAAGCCGCCAAAGTCGCAGCGCGAAGTGGCGAGGGAAGACTGCAATCAATGCATTTCCAAGGGCCAGGTAAATGCTGAAATGCCATACAAATGATTCTTCTTATTACCACAATTATATCTGCACCAAACAATGTAGTACTTTTAAGCTGTCTTGTGTTTTTCACTAATTGCTTTGAGAATTAGTCTTACCTTGCCAGCGAGACTGCCTCTTCCCAGGAGACAGAGCTCCGGTGGCTCCGAGCTGGGCCGCTCTGCGCAGGGCAGCCGCCCCTCCGAGCCCTCGGGCAGCAGCGCGTGAGCGCCGTGGGGGGCTGGGCGTCCCGGGTGAGTCACGGGGGCTCTGCCGCCCGCTGGGCACCGATGATGTGCTGAGCCCTTGGAAAAGCACGCTCCTGGCCTCGACTCCCTCCACCCTCACCAGGACACTGAACAGTACTGTCAGGATCTCCGTTCTAGAGATGAGAAATGAAACTCAGAGAGGTTGAATACTTTGCCCGAGGCCACCCAGCCGGTAAGTGGTGCAGGAGAGACATGAGGTGGGTGTAGGGTCCCGAGCTCAGACTCGGCTGGACCAGGAGCGGTGCTTTGGGTTTGGGGGCAGATGGCCTCCAGGATCGCTTCACATCGGCCTGCAGGCGAGACAGGGAGCCGGCCGCCTCTGAAGGTGGAGGGGCAGACCAGATGCTCTGGGAGGGGGCACAGGGCTGGCACCTCTGAGGGGAGCTTTGCTGTGGCTCCGGCCCTCACCGGAGCTGGCTCCTCGCTGGGATGGCAGGGAGCAGGGGTCTGCCACGTGCAGTGGGTGTCAGCGTGGGGGGTGGAGGCAGCGTCCTTCTGTGGGAGTCCAGCTGCCGGAGGAGGCTGGGCCTGGCCGGCCCCACCAGAAGACTCAGACTGCAGCGGACGAACCAGGGAGACTGCGTTTTCTGTGTCCCCAGATAAACAAAGGGAGCAACGCAGAGAGGGCTGGGCCTCACCTCCTGGAAGGGGAGGAGCACCGACTTCTCGCTGTCCTTCCTCTACCCAGAAAACCTTCTTCCCAGGTCTCCCCTTGGCGGGCCTTGGATCCCACCACCTGGGTGCCGGCTGAGTGCCGACGCTGAGGACCCAGGGGGATTTGCTATCAGTGCTGGGCACCATGTTAGATACCAAGAGACACATGTAAAAAGCAGGGGAAGATGTGACCGGAGTCGACTTACAGAGAAGGGGAAACGCTTGTGACAACCCCTGGGGTCGCTCCAGGACTTGGGGAGCTGGTTTTTGAATGCCAGGGCCCAGGAAGCCCTCCTTTGGCCCCCTGCCCACCCCACCCAGGGCTGACCTGCAGAGTAGTGATTGGCTGACAGGTTGCCTGTCACTGAGTGAGGCCCTGTGAGTGGCTGGTTGAGGCAGACCCTGCGCAGGAGCGCTGACTGGGCGAGAGAGGGCGGTGGGGGCAGAGGGCCCTGGGTCCCCAGGGTCTGCTGGGTGCAGTCGGATCCTCCAGTTTTCTCCACGGTGTGGTTTCATAAACCCTGGAGATGCGGGCCCTCCTGTCACAGCAGAGGGGTCTGTGCAGGTGGGGACGGCTCCTGTCCTCTGGGTGCGTGCTCAGGACAAGGTCCCGTAACAGGTACAAAGCCGAGGACTGGGGCAGTGCTCAGTCTTTCCAGCCCAGGGAACCCCAGAAACCTCCCTATGGTGTGGGCGCTAGTGGGACCCAAGAGTGTCATTCCTGGGGCCTCCCTGTCATCTCATCACTTGCTTGGATCACTGTCTTCCTTCCAAGGTGTCTTATCCAGGCCTCGGCCACAAGCAGGAACAACACTTGCTAGTAAAACTGATTCAGTTTGGGTCTTAAGGGTTGAGAATGGTCAGGGCCCAGCTGTGTACAACGTTTCTGCAGATAAAGGTCACTTGGGGTTGTAACAGCCCCACCTCCCTTGTGTCCCACCACCTGTGGGCAAATGCGACCTTCAGACCTCTCCCGGCGATGAGCCCGCCAATGCTTCCCGCGGCCAGCAGAGGGCAGCAGAGCACACCCAACATCCCCACCCTCTGACCCCCAGGGTGCTGGGCTGACTGTTCTCTGGGGATTAGAGCCCCAGAGTGCTCAACCCCCAGCTATCTTTTAGTTCCTTGTTTCTCAGATTTAATATTGGGAGCTCTGTTTTTTAAAGTAAAAAAAAAAAAATCACATTTGCTTCCAATGTTGTTTTAAGTAACTTTTCTGCTTTGTAGTGATGCAGCTCCAACATGTAGTGATGCAGCTCCAACACGGGCAAACAGACTACCTCTGCTCCTTATGCGGGTAACTGCCACGCAGGGCGACGGACACGATCGACGAAACTCAGCGTCGTCTCGTGGATACATCCACGCTGCCCGCAGACCTCCGTATCACCTCATCCCCAAGGCCCGAGTCTGCTGTCCTTGCTCCTTGGGCACTTGTCCGCCGTGGAACAGCGGCGCTCCCCCACCCCTTCTGTGCCCTAACCAGGGAAACGTCCCCAGCGCAGCACACGGTGATGTCACATGGCCTTGACTGGCACCAGCTCATCGTCCAGTCGGCCTCGCCTGGCTGGTGACAGTCGAGATGAAATTGTGGTTTGTAGACACTGATGCAGATGCAGCCACTGAAACATATGACTTCGTTGGAAGGTGTCCAGACAGAAGAGCCAGAATGTCTTTTTAAAAAGAAAAATTGTCCAGTGAAATCACACACACGCAGAGATATTCACCATTCATTGAAAATGCTTAAACACCACGAGTGCGTGCCTGGAGCCCCGTCTGACAAACCTGTCCCCCACCCCTGCGTTCCATAGGTGCACAAGCTCAGAGAGGAAGGCCGCCCCGCCGAGGTCACACCGCTCACCTGGCCGCTTAGAACTCTGGCCGCGCACTTTGCAGGCGGTACCTCCCGTCGTCACCCTCAGGCCACCCTCACAGGCCTGGCCCGAGGACAGGAATCCTGGGGACCTTTTAGGGGATCAGCCACTGCGTTTTGGGTGGAGCTTCCTGCGGCTTGGAGCAGGAGCGAGATTGGACACACACAGCCACAGCCACGAGTGGGGGGAGCTTGCCTCAGCCCTCCAGGCTCCAGGGTCCGCAGCGAAGGCCCGTGGGCACCTCCCTGTGTGTACCTCCCCGTGTGTGTACAGCTTTCTGATATGTATCAGACGATGAGAACACACACACCCTTCTGAGGTCTTCCAGGAATGGAGAGCTTACTGGATACTGCTTTTAGGACCTGGGGAAAATAGATGTCTCTGCCCCAACCCGAGGGGCAGGTTGTAAATTTTCGATCTGTTAACTCCCAAAGGGTCCATGGATAGAATTGGGGTGGGGGTGGGGTGGAATTGAGACTCGCCTAGGAAAAACTGCATTTTTACTTTTCTTATCTGTATCTGAAAAGTGTCACTTCCTTGAAATATAAATGCTGGCAACAAAGCCGTTGACACCGCAGCACCGGGCGGTGGCCAGCCACGGGGGCGCAGACATGTGCCCGGTGCTGTCGCAGCTGTAGGTCTCTTG